ACACACACACACACACACACACACACACACACACACACACACTCATACACACACACACACACGCACATGCATACGCACAGCAAAACAAACATAAAAATGTACCTTTCAGCCATTTTTAAGCGTTCAGTAGCACATATGATATTTACAATGTTGTGCCACTATCATTAGGGATTTTAAAGGTTGTTAGTGTGCCAAAGAATTCCTAACCAGGATAAGATATGCATATCCTAAACATCAGACCTCATTGGCAAATTGGGGGTCTTTGAAGGAAATTTTGACAACAGGAAATTTTGACAATAGTCAAGTGCTGACACCACCATCACCACCCCTTACGGGACTCCACCCCTCCTCCAAGCAGCCAGTTCTGAGGCAGGCCCTGAGTTCCTCCTTCATCCTCAAGTTTAAAGGGGAGTCCTGAAGTAGAAGCCTCTTTCTTCACTTTGCCTACTGGACTATGACTTCCTGGGGCTTGTTTTTCTGCCCCTCACCCTCAGCAAGTCCAGGCTTCAGCCCACATTGCTACTGCACAGCAGTGTTCAACAATTTTGTTCAAAAGCTTCTATCATTTCACTTATTAAGAAGTTCTCAACCTGGGCAGTTTTGTTCTCCAGGGGACATTTACCTGGCAATTATCCAGAGATACTTTTGGGTGTTGAACTAGGAGAACAGGGGATGTTACTGATATCTGTGTGTTGGGGCAGGGGAAGCTACGAACATCCTCTAAGGTACAGGACAGCCCGTGAGTCTCCGGCCTTGGGACTGCATTTTCAAGATGACTATACTTTGGAAGGTTCAACAAGAGGTCATATTGCTTAATATTATAAGTTCTCCAGGTTCTTGGTCAAATGGTTATTAATAGCCACATTGGGCAACTGGTCACAACTCTTTGAAGCTTTTCCAGACAAAATATGCTACAGTCACACTTTGAGCAAAGAACAATGAAGCTTCCACGGAACTCCTACATGTTGGAGCTTGTATCATCAGGGCACATCCAATACAAGAGAGGTTTCCAGAAGGAAGTCTTGGTCCTCCGTGTATCTCAGGTATGTGACTTGGTTAGTATCTTTATTTTTCACTACTCTTTTATTCAGTGCTGAGGACTGAACCCAGGGCCTTGTGCATACTAGGCAAGTGCTGTACTAATGAGCTATTTCCTTAGTGCAGAAGTATCTTTAATTTTCATAGAGGAATGTCCTCCCTCCACTCTGCTTGATTCACAGAACCACCCTCTAATCAACAGCATGATCTACATTCATGTTCTCTATATAGGATATCACCATGGCAGGAACAGCTAGTAACCCAATATAGATTTGAGTTTTCCATTGCTGTGTGACAAAATACTGAGATGATCAATCTAAAGGAGGAAGGTTTATTTGGGGTCATGGTTCCAGAGATTTCAGTCCGAGGTTACTTGGACCAGTGGCTTTTGGGTCTAGGGTGAAGCCGTCCAAATTGTGAAAGCACATAGAAAAAGAAAGTGGTGACCTCTCAGCAAAAAAGAGAGCAGCCTGGGACAAAATATACCCCTTCAAGAGCACATCCCCAATGACCTAAGTCCTCTAGTTCCTGCAATTGGACCCCACCTGAAGTTTCCACTGCCTCCCAAATTCTGAATTTTAAAAAGCCAGGCATGGTGGCACACACCTGTAATCCCAGCTACTTGGAAGGCTTAGGCAGGAGGTTCACAAGTTCGAGGTCAGCCTGGGTAATAGCAAGACCCTGTCTCAGAATAAAAAGGACTGCAGATGGGCTGGGGTTGTGGCTCAGCAGTAGAGCACTTGCCTAGCACGTGTGAGGCCCTGGGTTCAATCCTCAACTCCACATAGAAATAAATAAATAAAGGTATTGTATCCAACTACAACTAAAAAATAAATATTAAAAAAAAAAAGGGATTGCAGATGTGGTTCAAGGGTAGAGTGCCACTGAATTCAATTCCTCATACATCAAAAAAAATTATGACTTCAAAAGGAATTAATCCATTCATGAGGTCAGAGCCCTCATAATCAAATTACCTCCTGAAGGCCCTATCTCCGAACACTTCTGAAGCATCAGTAAAGAGTACGTGACCAACCAGGTAATATCTTTCTAAGCATGTCTCTCACTCTCCTCCTCACATCTAAAAATTGCCATGTTGCGTGTGCATCAATTCTGAGCTGATATACCTGAGAAGCAGGCCCACCAAGACTATGTGTTGAGTCACAAGATAGATGAAATCCAGGTCACCTTCAAAGGAGAGCCATCCACACCAGACATGGAATCCCCACATGTACTTGGAAGGCTGAAGCAGGAGGATCATGAGTTTGAGGCCAGCCTAGGCAACTTAGTGAGACCCCCAAATAAAAATGAACAAAAATGTGTGATTGTGTGTGTGTGTGTGTGTGTGTGTGTGTGTGTGTGTGTGTGTATCTCCATTTGGACTTTACTTAGGGAGAGAGGCACTCATGTAGTAGTAGCTCACAGACGTTTTGAGTTTTGTCCACTATGGTGGTTAGTATTACTCAAACTACCCTCAAACATACCCTCTGCTATGTTCTGAATTTTTGTGCCCCTTTCTTTCCCCAAATTCGTAGGTTGGAATCCTAACCCCCAAGGAGGTGGTATTAGGAAGTGGGTCCTTTGGGAGGTGATTGGGTCATGATGGCTCTAATCATTTAGTTCTCAGTAGTTCTCCCCCAGCAATTTTGTCCCCTGGGGGCATTTGGCATCATGTGGAGACAATTTTAGTCATGATGGCTCTGCCCTCATGAATGGAAACAGTGACCTCATAAAAGAGGCCTGAGGGAGCTGGTTTGTTTGCTCCTTCTGCTACACGAGAATGCAAGAAGAAGGTGCCATACCGGAACCAAAGGGCAAACCCTCTCTAGATGCCACTTGTGCCTTGATCCTGGACTCCTCGGCCTGAAGAACTGCGAGCAATGCATTTGTTTTCAAAGTACCCAGTTTGTGGTCTTTTGTTAAAGTAACCCAATTGGACAAATTTTTAGTCAACTTTCTTAGTCAGTTATAAGCTATTCTCTTCACAGAGGACCATCTGAAGCAGGGGTCAGCAAATCATGGCATGTGGACCAAATCCAGCCTTCCACGTGTTTTTGCACAGCAAAAATAAAATGAAAATGGAAAAAAAAAAGATATCGTCCACAGCTAAAAATGGTTTTTACGTTTTTCAGTTGTTGAAAAAATTTTCAAAAGAAGAATTCACACCTTGTGACACATGGACATTGTAAGAATTTCAGATTTTAGTGTCCCTTAATGAAGTTTGATTGGAACCCAACCACATTCATTTGTTTATGGATTCTCTGTGGCTGCTTTTACTGTACATCAACAGTTTTCAGTACTTATAACAGAGACCCAAATGGCCTGCAAAGCCTAAGACTTTAATATCTTGCCCTTTACAGGACAGGTTTGCCAATCCTTATTGTTTTAGTCATATTTTTTGCTGCTGTCACTAAAAGATATGACCAGAACAATTGTAGAAGAGGAAAAGTTTATTTAACGGCTCACAGTTTCAGACAATAGACAGTAAACTGCATTTCTTGGGGCTTGAGTTGAGGCAGAAACTCATGGTTGAAGAGTGTGGTGTAGGGAAGCAGCTCATAGGACAATCAGAAAGCACAGAGAGAGAGAGAGAGACTCCAATCACCAGATATAAAATATATACTCCAAATCCATGCCCCCAGTGATTCACCTCCTCCAGCCACACACTACCATTTCCACTCAGTTAATCCCATCATTGGAATAGTTGACTGATTATATTAAGGCTCTCATAACCCAATCATTTCTCCTCTAAACCTTCTTGCATTGTCTCACACATGAGCTTTTGGGGGACACCTCAAATTCAAACTATGACACCTCGCTTGAAGGATGTATAGACCATCCATTCCCATAGAGATAAAGTTTGGAAATTTTCTCCTGCCCCTCATCCAGGAAAGCCCACAGCACATGCCAGGCCTACTTTGTATCAAATCCTTAAACCAGTTTCACTGGATGCTTCCAAGGCTCTTTATCAAGGGACTACTTTCTTAAGGGTCCCTATGAAATATTTCTCTTAGTTCTCAAGACCAGAAAAATCTGTGCATTCCAACAACAAAATATTTGCTTTGACTCTGAGGATGCTCTGGGTCAAATCCACAGCCCCCTCTGCAATGGAACAGACTCTCAGATGAATTTCTTGAACATAAATGTTCCTTTGGAATTGTTTTATGAGACCCTCTATCACTTTCTTTTAAAATTCCACTCAAGCTGAGCATGTCACCTGCCTGTAGTCCCAGCTACTTGGTAGGCTGAGGTAGAACTGCTTGAACCCACAAGTTCAAAACCAGACTGAAAAACATAGTGAGATCCCACCTAAAAGAAAAATAAGACAAAATTCAACTCAATTGCTATTATAGTTTGACTCTTAAATGTCCCCCAAATGTCCATGCAACAAGGTCTTGGTCCCCAGGACAGTACCATTTGGGAGTTGGTAGACCCTTTAAATGATGGGGCCTAGTGGGAGGTCATTAGGTAATTGGAGGCTTACCCTCAAAAAGGATTGTGGGACCCCAGGCATTTCCTCTTCTTTCACTTCCTGGCCATGAGGTAAGCAATTTTGTTCCACCATACACTCCTGCCATGACGTGCTGCCTCAACACAAGCCTAAAACCAACAGGGCCAACCAATCATGGACTGGAACCTCTAAACTTTGAGCCAAAATAAAATTTTTTTCTTCATAAGTTGATTATCTCAGTTATTTGTTATAGTTTCAGAAAACTGACTAATAAATTTGTAAGTTTTTCTCCAAAACACTTCTGAAATTATGTTTTGAAGGCCAAATTCAGTTGACGCACAGACCACTTCTACTCAGGAGGCTGAGGAAGGAGGATTTCAAGATACTTAGTAAGACTCTATTGCCGAAGTCTGGCTTGGCACAAATCAGGAGCCA